CTCTCTCTCTCTCTCTCTCTCTCTCTCTCTCTCTCTCTCTCTCTCTCTCTCTCTCTCTCTCTCGTAGAAACGAGGATGAATTCATCCTCGTTTCTAAGAGAGAGAGAGAGAGAGAGAGAGAGAGAGAGAGAGAGAGAGAGAGAGAGGGCGTCAGCCAGTTTCTGACGCCGAGTTTGGTGCACCGAACTCGGCATCAGGCACTGGCTGACGCCCTCTCTCTCTCTCTCTCTCTCTCTCTCTCTCTCTCTCTCTCTCTCTCTCTCTCTCTCTCTCACGAGAATGAATCTTCCTCTTTATCGAGGAAGATTCATTCTCGTTGGGCATGTCTCGTTTTGTTTTGTTTTGTTTTGTTTTTGCAGAATGTTGTATGTTTTTTTGTGTTTTTCCCCGTTGTGTACTACGGGTTGCCCCAGGCTCGGCAATAAAGTCCGAGGCTCGGCAATGACCGGGATACCGGTAGCCTGAGCCACGGGCCTTGACAACCGGTAGGTACTGGTGGTTTAAAACAGGATTGACAGAAGGCTGGGACGCTCATCACCCAGCCCGTTTTTTCTTGGGGGGGGGGGAACAGTGCTCCAATCTATTCGTGAGGAGCCGCACGTGCTGGGAACTGGGCCCAGCATCCCATTAGGAACATCTGGAGAACATATACGGAAAAAACTCGAGATACCGGGGCCATTACCCGGCTTCGGCTAAGAATAGGATCATGACATGGCCGCGAGGTAGTACAGGAGGGAGATGGCGGCCATAGCCGCCACGTAGGATAGTATACTGAGTGTGTCTATTCGTGTGTATGTGTGTGTGTGTGTGTGTGTGTGTGTGTGTGTGTGTGTGTGTGTGGGACATCAGGGTGATCCGAGAGTGTGAGTGTGTGTGCGAATAACGTGCTGGTGGATACAATTGATCGGGTGGGAATCTTTGTCTGGCGCTGCGCGCCATAGCCATTCAAGACAAGTTTGAATCTGGAAAAAAAAAAAAAAAAAGGATCATGAGCAATTTCTAGGCTATTCGACAAAAGACCTCATGAGATAGGCTGAAGTTCAGAAAACGTCTGAAGAAGCTTGAAAAAATATGAGAGCGGAGGTTAAAAGCTGAACCCACCTACTATCCAAAACTCCTCCCCTCAACAGACCAAACTCTCTCCAGGCTCTCAGTCCTCGTATCAGACGTCACTTGATCTCATACCCCCTTTTGCTAGGGTAACAGGGCACCACAGCCTTCCCCATTACTGACCAACCTAGTTCTGACGGACAGGAGGTGCCTTCCTCCCTCGACATCTCCCTTAGCGGCAAGCTCCTGACACCAGGTTACAGGGTTAATACCCCGGCGCCGGCTACGTCGAACGGTCTGGTTATGCCTTCCACCCTAAGTTGGCATAACTCCACAGGACTAGGTCACAGAGCAAAAACTCCAGCACCGGCCTATGTCGCCCGAGCATCATCCTTCTAAGCTACTTACCTTAACAAACAACCCCTCCCCTATTGAGAGCCCCCTTACTACCTCCCATCCTCCCGTAATTTATTATTATTATTATTATTATTTTTAAAGCACCCCCACCAGTGTTAGTGCTGCTGATAAGGAACGCTGGACCCTGTTTCCAGCAGGTGCAGCTCCCCACCAATAGATTGGAGCCATCGACCCTGCGAAGCCTGCTAGAGGAGGATGCTCTTACCAACTCCTGCTAGCAGGTGCTTTCGCGCCAATGATGTTTCTTTCCAACAAAAAAAAAAAAAAAGAGCAGACACCACTAACACCAGGGGACAGGCTCCATCTATTGGTGGGAAGCATCACCTGCTGGAAAACGGGTCCAGCGTCCCATATACAGAAAAAGGGGTATCTTGAGAATATGAGAGAATGAAAGTGAGAAAAATGATTGTGGGATCTGCCAGCATTGATTGCCCTGCGAAACAAGGGATTGACTGAGCAGGCCCTGTGTTTGGTCCACCCCATGTTGGAATATGAAGAAGTGACTGTGGGATCTGCCAACGTTGATTACCCTGAAAACCAGGGTAACTGACTGAGCATGCACTATGTAACCCCCAGCGATGTAGTCTTGAATAAGCATGCAGAGCGGCCAATGTCCTTTGTATCTCTTCGCCCTTGTAAGAAGGGCGTCGAATAGGCAGCTAAGGACTGATACTATTCTGGGGACCTACTCACTCCAACCATGCCCGGTTACTTCAGAATACTCAAAAAAGACAGCTTTGACTACCATAACAGATTGTAAAAACGAGAGCAAGTATAGGCGGGGTCCTCCCCAGGGGGCTCCAGGGAGGCGTTCCGCATATGATAATCTATGAGAATGTGGAGGAGAATGTAAGGGGGAGTATCGCATTCAGGTCAGAAACTCTGTCAGAGATAGGGCGTGGGGAGGGAAAGGATCTGGGAAATCCGAGGGAGGGCGTAGGGGGAAGGAGGGCTCTATATTAGTCCAGTTCTTAAAAGGATAGACGATGGTCTCTTATTTCTTCCAAATCATGCGGCCCAACTCCCCTATCTCCACTCCATTCTACCTTTGTAATCCATCCTTCCAAATCATGCGGACCTACTCCCCTATCTCCACTCCATTCTACAAATGACGAGCTCCTTATTCGATAGAGCAATTGGAATACAAGCGTCGTCAACTGCATGCAAGCGATCCGCCGTCGTAGCGCAAGGCACTTGCCCCTCCACAAGCCCCGCACAGCTACACTGTTTCGAACCTCCACATGTCATCTTGACATGCAGCCCCTCCCAAAGCTCTACGAAAACTCCTTGCAGTTTCCTTATCATTTCAGCGCAATCGCACATCTCAGCCATCACCTGTGCTCTCTCAGTAGCACCCAATCGTTGAAAGGAAAAGTTCAGTTGGATCTCCTCCTCCCATCCGTTGAGCACTTCCTCCCCCTCCTCCAAAAGCTCCGCTGATAAATCCTGGCGATGTTGAGTGAGCACATCGTAGATTTCCTCCATCTGTCGCTTGTGCATTCTCACCACCTCCGACGGTGCTTCCTCCTCGTCAAGCAAAGCAGCAGCCGCTTCATCTTGCATGATCGCCGCCTGCATCGCCGTCATTATTTTATGTGTGAAGTGTTATGTCGTCGAGGCCACCCACAAAACTCACGCGCTGCCAATACAATCTAAACTTTCAACTCCTCGCGCCGACGTGCCGTTGCGTCAAGATGCCACGTAGAACAACCCTACCTGTGCCCGTGCCTAAACACCAGGCGGGCACCAGTGCAACCAAGCGCAGCTATGGCGCTCACAGAGAGTCGCCACCTCTGCCCCAGTCTGCGGAGTGCGGCCGGGCCTTGCCGACCTGTCCGCAGCGCAGATTAGCGCACGCGCGTCGTTGGCAACCAGCCTTGACTTTCTAATTCTCTGACTTCCTATTCTGAATGTCTCTCCTCCTCATGGCGCTGCAAGGGCTTGTTAGCAGATGATGAGGGTTTCAGAGTAGGGATTTGATTTAGACTGACTTTCTAACATTCTGACTTCCTATTCTGAATGCCTCTCCTCCTCATGTCGCTGCAAGGGCTTGTTAGCAGATGATGAGGGTCTCAGATTAGGGATTTGATTTAGACTGTGATGGGTGGGAGGGTCGCAGGGTAGGACATCGGCCTTGGGGAGGCCCTTCATTTAACCTCCTGTGCTATTTGGAGGGGGGCGCTTCAACTGGCATACGTGGTACCCCGCCCGCCTGCCTAGTATCTGAACAGCTATCCAGGGTGGGTAATGACTTTGGGATTCACTATAATTGACTTTCTAATCCTCTGACTTCCTATTCTGAATGCCTCTCCTCCTCATGGCGCTGCAAGGGCTTGTTAGCAGATGATGAGGGTTTCAGAGTAGGGATTTGATTTAGACTGTGATGGGCAGTTAATCCCCTCGACTGAGGGCAATCAATGCTGCTCATCAGTCAATGGAGTGTGCCTACGGGTCGGTTTAGTGGATCACTCATGTTTATACTACAATGGACATGTGGCATTTCAACATGAGCTCTGTTTGTTTACAGACCACCCACTTCTAAATGTCAAGGGACGCTGGACCCGGTTTCCAGCAGGTGTTGCTCCCCACCAATAGATGGTGCCTCCCCGAGCATGCTACAGTGGTGTCTGCTCTTATCAGCACCCCTACCATTTACTCGGGTTGTTTTCATAAAAATAAAAAATAAAAATAAAAAAAAAGAGAAAATCGTTTTTTTTTTTTTTTTAAAGCGGAAACGATCCCCGGAGATAGTTTGAGGTGCTGGTAGGAGCAGACATCTCAAGCTAGTCTCAGGGCGGCCCCATCTATTGGTGGGGAGCTGCACCTGCTGGGAAACGGGCCCAGCGTCCCCTTTTACATCTTTACATCTTATAGATCCAAATAGAAGTTGTATCCAGGGGTGTGCCCAACCCAGCGAGCTGGTCACAAAGCTAGGGACCCCTAGTCATTCCGTTTGACCGTATCGGGTCTTTCAATTCCTGACCGTATCAGGTCTTTCAATTCCCACTGAACTATAATTTCATAGTTGTTTCCTCTTGACCGTCTTAGGTCTTGGAAATCCTGTCTGCCCTGTCTGCCCTGCTGGTTCCCCAAGGCGATCATGAACAGTGTTCCCGCTTCTCTGCAGTAGTCCAGCAACCCGATCGTGAGTCTGCAGCCTCTGAGCAGCACCCCAAGCAGTCGTTCAATTTGTGTCCTTTGCAGTTGCTCTTTGATATTTAACTGTTCCCCACGTGCTGTTGTAGCCAGCCACGCCTGCGTGGTAATCCCGGCTTGCAGGCTGCATAGCCAACTTAATTCGAGCCACTTCCGTTATGGTGGGAGTGTCCTTGTCTGCATGTTTCCTGGCTTGGCCATGTTGGACATCCTCCTTGA